TAGCGGTTTTAGGTTACCTCCTCTAAACATATCTCCCAACCTATAGTAGCCTTTGGATCTTAACAGATGCCACCATTTGTTTTCTCTTATTTCGCTATACATGGACTCTAGCGGCGCCCACCTTGAGTTTCTCCTTAACCATATCGTCTGCCACTTACTCCAAGATTCTAATGCTGAGTATCTGGGGCCTTTAATTGATTTGAGGTCTTTTGTAACTTTGGAGAATATTCCAAAACGTCCTGTGTTGTTGTTGATCTCGTTCTCAAATCTGACCCATTTCTGCCCATTGCCTTCACCTATCTCTAATAACGACTTTATTTGGAAAGCTTCATAATAGCTATTCAACTCGGGGACTCCCCAACCCAACTCCGTTTTGTGGCCATGTACCAATCTTTTTTGAATTCTACATTTTTGCTGCCAAATATCCACTCTCTAATCACTCTATTCCATTGTTCTAGCCTTTTACTATGAATTCCTAATGGTATCGACTGAAATAGATATATTAATTTAGGGACCCAGAACATTTTTACAGTCATTATTCTAGCAGATATGCCTAAAGTTTTATTTTTCAACTTTCCCATTTCATTCTCTATTTTCCTCCATATCATGTTGTAGTTAGCGTCCGGAATTCTATCGATCTTCTTTTGTAACACTATACCTAAGTATTTGAACTTTTTCGTGCCCATTCCAATACTTGTAATTTTGTTTATTGCATTTTTCCCCTCTTGATTCACGTTGAGATACATGATTTCTGATTTAGCTATGTTGACCCTTAGACCTGAGCAGCCTTCAAAGTCCTCTAGTATAATAGAGAATGTGCATCTTTGTCACAAAACCTTCAAGCAAGGTTCAGAGTCTTAGCTCCCAGCACCCAATTCCTGAATTGTATCTATGTCATTTAAAGGTAAAGTCAAACATCTACTTCACGGGGACAGCTTTAACTGTGAAGCTGATCTTCTGCTGGTGAACGCCCTCTACTTCAAAGGACAATGGGAAGTGGAATTTGACAAAGAACTCACCAAAGATGAGCCATTCTACTTCAATGAGGTAGGTTCCAGAAACATCCCTCTAGTCCACTCTTCCTCTTGATTTAAATGTTCTGAAGACCAAAGAGACCATTGAGAAATCAGCTCAGTATCTCCACTGTGACCTCCAAGCATATTTTGGAAGTGGTGGCAGTTTCACTGTTTCCAGTGGGATCCTTAAGAGCTATCCAGGGACAACACAGTGGACATAGGTGCTCAGAGGTGCTTTGATGCAATCATAAAAACTGAACTCTTCACCAACTTCTTGGAATAACTAGCCCTGCTAGGCTCTCCTGTTTTGAACATGTCATGAATCAAAGGATGGCAGGAGAATTTGAAAACTGCCTTGCTGGGTCAAACCAATGTTCCGTCTATATCAGCACTGGGCTCCGATCCTATCCACCTTTTGGCTCAGACTGAATTAGTTCCCACTCTCACTCCATCCTGCATGGCTCTTTGTCTATGTGAGTGCCAAAATTACTAGCATAGCCTTTTGGGGGTTATTGAACGAGGCCCCTCTTTCCACATTCAGCAACAGGAAGTCTGGAAGGAGCTAATTGCCTGCCTTCAGTGAGAAACTAGATGCCCCAAGGACCACCTAGATGCCCAATGCAGGACCAGCCTAAAGCATCTCCGGGAAATAGTAGTCCAGCCTCTTCTTGAAAGCTGTCAGTGAAGGGGAGCTAACCACCTCCCTGGGCAGCTGAGTTATGATAAATTATTGTGCAGTAGCTTGGAGGTTTGATGCTTCAGCACCTTCCAGAAGCCGTTGCCCATATAATGAGTCTTATCACCACAAAAATAGGCGGTGCTAATACATTTTTTTGGCATGCATTTTAAACCAAACAAATGATCTGATAAGGGTTCCATCTTTCCCCCAGATTAAATGTACAAATGTACCGATGATGCAGCGGAAAGGCCAGTTCAACACAGGCAAGATTGAGGGCTCTGAGGTGCAGGTACTTGAGATCCCGTACAAAAACAACACTCTGAGTCTGTTCATATTGCTACCTAAAGACTGCACGATTGAGTCTCTTCAGCAGGTAAAGTTCTTATTCCTATGGTGTTTTCCCACTACAAAGTTCTTGGGGTAAATCCCAGATAGTTGTTAACAGTTTCTGTATTACAGCTCCCTTTCCAGTCTGGTTCTAGACTGTTTCACCTCCACCAGTTGTCCCACCAATGCCTTTCTATGCCATTTCCCCCTGGAATCACTCTCACTGCACCAGTTCACAGGGAAATAATGGGGCTCACAGGGATTATGGGTTTAACCACCTCATTTGTGGTTAAACCCATAATTTTGTGATCCTTTGTGGGGTCATGAGGCATGTTTTGACGGGTTATAAGCAATACTCCCTCTAAGCCGTGGGGTCTTGTGAGCAAAAATCCTACTTTGTGAGCTACTGGCATTAAAGCTGTGAGCGAGCAATTTGGCTACTGCATAAATTAGTTTGCTCTGGAGCCATCCTTCCTGAGCTGAGACAAAAATGTGTGAGCCAGAGGCTAAAAAAACTGTGAGCTAGCTGGTTATAAGTAGCACTGGTTATAAGTATGTTGCCAATAAGACTAAATAGAACTCTTGTGGTGCCTTAAAGACTAATTCCCCCCCCCTTCAATATAAGCTATTGTGACACAAATATACAGTTGTTCTACCATGTCTGCCAATTAGAGTTACAAACATATGGACTGTGAAATATTTACATGATTTTTTAAAAAATCACTAGGCACAAATGTAGAAATATACTATGTACACAATGTGCAAATATTTAGAATGCTAGATGGTAGTTGGATGCCCTTATATCAATTGTTGTCAAATGTATGACTTGAGAGCCAGGGTGGTGTAACAGTCAAGAGCAGTGGACTCTAATCTGGAGAACTGGGTTTGATTCCCCATTTCTCCACATGGAGCCTGCTGGGTGACCTTGGGCCAGTCACAGTTCTCTCAGAACTCTCTCAGCTCCACTACCTCACAAGGTGCCAGTTTTGGGGAGGGGAAGGGAATGCAATGGTAAGCTGCTTTGAGACTTCTGCTGCTGCTGCTGCTTTTCTTATTTTTTTTAACCTCATAGTGATTAGGGATCCCAAGTCCCCCTGGGGGGCGGGGAAACCCCCGCCCCAGAGGCCCATTCCCCGGCGCTGCCGGATTGAGCCCCGGGGGGAACTCCTCCCCGATGTGCACGTCACCCGGAAGTGACGCGGGCACGCTGGGCATGCTGGGGGTGGGGCCACGGCCATACAAGGGAAAACTCTATGGTTTTCCCTTGTGTGGTCGTGGCCCCGCCCCCAGCGTGCCCGGCGTCATAACGTCACTTCCTGGTAACGTGTGTGCGGCGAGCGCTCCGGGATCCACCCAGGAGTCCCCCGCTGCCAAGGTAAGTTCTACTTGGCGACCCTAATAGTGATGCCTGAATCTGGTTTCTTGATGTTCACCATATTGTATCTCTTTCTCTTTGCAACTGAAGCTGGAAGATGAATTGACCCATGAGAAACTTCTGAACTGGGGCTGTCTTCTGAAGCCGCAGGAGGTACATGTGGCCATCCCCAAGTTCAGCATGGAGAAAACCATTGAGGCGAACACCTATTACCTACCACATCTGACTGATCCCGACAAAGCCGACCTGTCTGGAGCAACAGACACCAGAGGTGCAGTTCTGACTCACCTTTTCCATGATGCTTTCCTAGAGATTGATGAAGAGGGTGGGAAGGAACCGGAGAAGTTCCCTTCTTCCAAGGACAGACACCTAGCACGTCGTGCACCTCTTCGCTTAGTGGCTAATCGTCCTTTTGTATACTATGTTATACACAAAAGCACACAGAGCCTTCTTGCCTTTGGTAGATTCACTAAACCAGTTGAAAGGAAAGATTCTGATTAACAGAACCAGAGATCTTTAGCCCCCAGTATGGAAAAAACAACAACCCAAACCCTACAGAATTGGCTATAGGGTTATTGGATTGAACTTCCCCACACCCAGGGCTTTTTTTGTAGAAAAAGCCCAGCAGGAACTCATTAGCATAACAGGCCACACCCAACAGCTGAAACTCATTAGCATAACAGGCCACACCCTGCCACCACAACTCATTAGCATATTAGGGCGCAGCCCCGTGTTGCCAAAAGTGTGATCATCCAGCCACACCCACCTTTTGCTTCTTATTCTGTTTACCTTACTTGTTGTCAAAACCCAGGGCCTTTTCTTGGAGCAGGGACTCCTTTGCATGTTAGGCCACACACCCCTACTGTAGCCAATCCTAATGAGTTCCTGCTGTTGGGTGTGGCCTATTATGCTAATGAGTTCCTGCTGGGTGTGGCCAACTCGGGAGCCAGCCGGAACTCCGTTCCTGTGCGTTCCTGCCCAAAAATAGCCCTGCCCGCACCTGTGTTCTGGTTCCATTGATAATATTTTGGAAACCCACTTCATGCTGATCTTTGATGCTGCTTTATATAATGCTTTAGTGAGCAGAAGGCAACAGGAAGGAAAATGACAGTACCAATATGGTGGGGAAACAGTACAAAATCTGTATTTTTAGGCTAGGGTTTTCATTTATCACAGCGTTCAAAACCTACTAGATCCTCTTCTGGAATACAAAAATAATAATCTGTTACTCTTAAAAGTGTATTCTCTGCATTGCCCTCCTAACAGAACTAATAGCTTCAGTCTTATTGGTGAAGACCTTCGGAAAAGTTGGTGGAGGATCTGCTTTCATTTTAAGACGATGGTACCTGTCTGTTAGATAAGAATAGATGTGGTTTCTTCTCTGTCCCTGCTTCTCATTTGGTAACTTCTGTCTGAAGCTTGAAACTTGCAACGTTGACTGTATCATTTGGCTTATAAAAGCATCCCAATGAAACACAGTTGTTTTCTTGTCTATGTGGAATGAGAGAAATATTATTTGTAAACATTTGTAAACATGCCCAAACTATAACTACAAAGCATAGTCCACCCTCCTTGTCCCCTGGAAAACAAATGCAGGGTCGAAGCCTGAAATACAGTTGTAGCTGGGCATTTAAACAAAAAAAAAATCCACTGGAAACACCCTTTGCCTCACACTCCCTAGGGGGGAAATCTGTCACTGATCAGGAAAGAGCAAAAGTCCAGTAGCACCTAAAGGACTAACAAAATATGTGGCAGGGTATGAGCTTTTGTGAGTCACTGCTAGAGATGTAAAATTTCCGAAAATTTTGAAGTTCGGAAAAAACCCGTTTTTTCCCCATTTTTTTCCCGAGAAAAAACGGAAATTTTCAGAAAAATTGAAAAAATGCTACATTAGCATTTCTTTTGTCTTTTCTAGATTGAAAGTCATTCTGTTACTTTAGGAACATAAAATATGACTATGGACATTTTTACTTGGCATGAAATTATCACAACTAGCATATTAAAAATAGTGTATCCAAACAATTATTACAAACAGAATACCCTCCCACATGCAAAACCAAAACTGAACCTTTTTATTTTCTTCTGACAATAGCACCTCCTAAAGGAAGAAATGCATCTTGTTCTTGCACTGGAGAGTTCAGTTTGTAAACCTAGGACTTGCTTGTCCTCAGTGCACAGAAATTAGATCAATCTGATACCATATACATATATATTTTAGAAATGATTTGGAAAATATTTGAACACCTTGTCTTAAAATATTTTATTCATCATGTTAAAATAAAATGTTCCATAATCATTTTTTTCTTTTGTTTTCTTTTTTCAATTTTTCCAATTTTTCGGAAAAAAACAAAAAAGCTTCAGGAAAAAAAACGGAAAAAACCTATTTTTTTTTCCTGAATTTTTCCAGTTTTTTTCCCCGGGACTTCACATCTTTAGTCACTGCTCACCTGAAGACATGAGCAGTGACTCACGAAAGCTCATCCCCTGCCACGTATTTTGTTATTCTTGAAGGTGCTACTGGATTCTTGCTCTTTTCTACTGCCACAGACAGACTAACATGGCTGCCCGTCTGGATTGATCCGGAAATCACCATATTACCACAAAATAATATTTACTAGAATAGGGATCCACAACATGGTGCCTGTGGGGGTCTGCCAATGCCTTTTCTGGGACCTGCCAAGTGTTGGAAGTGGGCAAGGCCCGGTAGAGCTTTTGCCCAGCCTGATTGACTATTGAAGATTTGATTAATTGTGCAGTTTTTTGTTTGCTTTGGTAGCTTCTGTCACCACAGCACAAGGATCTTCACTGTGTGACTGAAATTAAGCTGCAGCAATCCCTTTGTGGCTGTCTCTGTCTCCTGTGGCAGCCATTTTGTGGCTGCACCCATCATGCAGTGTAAGAATTCCAAAGCCCCCCCCCCGGCTCAAAAAGGTTGGGAACCCCTTCCTTAAAGGGTCTGATAGGATAAATCAAGCAGCAATCCAACTATTAATGGTTCGATTTTTCCCCTCAGAGATATATAAGAAGTACTGTGTAAGAAGCTATGACATATCTTATATACACATGTTGTTGTTGTTGTTCAGTCACACAGTCGAGTCCGACTCTTCATGACCCCATGGACCTCCTGTCTTCTGCCGTGCTCCGGAGTTTGCTTAATTTCATGTTCATTGCATCGGTAACACTGTCTAGCCATCTCATCCTTTGCCATCCCCTTCTTCTGTTACCTTCAATCTTTCCCAGCATCAGGGTCTTCTCCAGTGAGGGCTCTCTTCTCATTGGGTGGCCAAAGTATTTGAACTTCAGTTTCAGTATCTGGCCTTACAGGGAATAGTCAGGGTTGATTTCTTTTAGGATTGACTGATGTGTATACACACATATGCACACATAATTACACATATTAAGCAGATTGGGTTGTTTGATCCTCTGTTTATGGAAACAGCTTTGAATGATATGGAAAAGTAGTATATAAATATTTTAAATAACCATAGTGGCTGGTTGATTGACTGTTGAGATTAATGACTGACCAGATACTGGGTGGGTACAGTTTTTTAAAAAAAAATCAGAGTGATTAAATTTTTGCTCAAAATATTACATCTCCATTTTGATAACAAGGTGACAATCAAAAAATACTGGGCGAAGGGAACATAAGTTTCAAATGCTGAAAAAAAACCCAAGAATGTAAAATGATCAAACGTTCAGTCCAATTCCGCAATTTCCCACAACCCTGGGAGGAGGATTGGTGCACATACAGAGTGCAGCTAGATACAAAGATTCTTTCATGGGGTGGGTACCTTCACATGTGTGGAGAGGCATCTGACCAAAGAGTGATTAACACTTGGAATTCACTGCCACAGGAAGTGGTGGCGGCTACAAGCATGGACGGCTTCAAAAGGGAATTAGATAAGCATATGGAGCAGAGGTCCATCAGTGGCTATTAGCCACAAGGGATAGATAGGGGCTCTGGGGCAAGGGATGCTCTGTCTTCTTGGTGCTTGGGGGGGGTCAACAGTGGGAGGGCTTCTAATGTCCTGGCCCCACTGGTGGACCTCCTGATGGCACTGGTGTTTCTGGCCACTGTGTGATACAGAGTGTTGGACTGGATGGGCCTTTGGCCTGATCCAACATTGGCATCTCTTATGTTCTTATGTTCTTATGACCAAATTGGGTTTATTGGCAGAAATATTCTAAGAAACTAAAGAAACGAATACTGACTATGATTTTCATAAAGGTCCATTTGGATGTTACTTCAGCATGTGGGAGCCACTGCAATGTATCTCCTTTCTGTACTACTCATATAATATTGAAATCTCTAGGTAATATTCCCCAATAATGTTTCTCACACCAAAGTACCTTGCCTCTATCCTCCTCTCCACCAAGTTGGTTCTGCAACAACTGCCTGCCTGCCTTCCGGGAAGTACAAGCAAAATATTTGCCCCATCTACTGCAGTGAAGGGAGAAATGTATCTTCTGTCTCTATCCCCCTTCAAGTCCACAGTGTCTGCCCTGGCAGGCAAGCAGGCAGACAGACATAGGGTTGGATCCAGCTAGCTTCTTCACGTTATCTCTCCCAGTTCTCACCAGAGCTCCTATCCCACATGGGTTTTGACATGCAGGTCTCATGCTCCCCAGAACAGACTTTTTTTGGTAGTCAAAGGGGACCCCACTTTCTGTTTCCACCACCAAAATGCTGATTGGACCCAACCCATAGAACACAGACGAGAATGGAACAGCAAACAAACGGGAGCCTGGACTGCTTATGTAAAATTAAGAAAGGTCTTCCTGAGTTTCAGAGACATTGGGATGTTTTGCAGGAAGTGGAAATGTTCTCGCCTACTGAGACACCAGTGTGCCATGAAAACACAGAGGCAGCTTTATTGATTATGTAACTCGCCCTAGAAACAAGCATGGGCTACACTCAAACACTCACACTGATACAATCACCCACATTTGCACACACTCAAATGGCTGGCCAGGCTCTTTCAGGTTGATCCATCAAGAAAGAGCTTCAAAGGGGTCTCTTTACCAATTTCAATATAAATCCAATGGGAGACAAATAGCTGGCCAAACCTTCTGGTGCTGATAGATCAGGAGAGATCTTCAGTGGATGTTTTCCCAGAGGTTTCTGCCCTGTCTCAAGTGTCTTTAGATTTTATGGTCCACTCTTATTTCTCCTCACCTTTGCTGGCCTGTGAAGGCGTTATGACAGACCTCTGCTTCTTCTTCACTGTGAGGCAGATTTTCCTGCCAACACACTGTTCCCCACTCAGCAGCCTCTTAGTAGTGTATTTTAATAATAGAATTATAATTTTCTGTGGGTCCCATCCAGTGATAGAAAAGTCATTTGGCTTTTGCCTAGACCAGAGATTTATTGTAGCTAAGCAGGAGCCCTCTTATACATTCCTTTGTAAATGGCACTTGACACAAAGTTCAAACAAGAAAGTTGATTTTTATTGAATAGGCACAGTTGGGTTAGGAATAGGCAGGGGGTGAGAAACTGAGGTAAATTTTGTTGTTTATACAAATTATAATAATATTTTGGAAAGGAAAGAGACTATAGTTGAAGCTTATTTTCATAGAGAACTGTGAGAGGTTTGTTTGTCTTGGACATTTCTTCCAGCAACAATGCATTTTTATAAAGTTTCATATAACTATCTTAATTTCCTGAAAGTTAGTACTTTCTTCCTGTATCTAAATACTTCCCTTGTAGGATTACAACATTCCATTTTTGACTCTTGAGGAATCTCAGATCGTTTCCTTTTTCACAAAGACCAGGGTTGCCTTCTGAGTTGAACCCACTGAATAACTGAGTAAGAAATATCCTCTTCTTTCTAGAAGCAATAATCCTTTTCTGTTTAGCTAGGCTTGCAGTTGTCAACCTCCTGTCCAGCCTCTTCTGCCAAACCTAAACCCCAGTTTCTGGAGACTGTGAATAAATGGAATTCAGCTAGGTGTGACATTTAGGGCAATTTCTCACTAGAGCTGCCTCGCAGCACAGCCGCCGTTTGCCTCGACACAAACATGTCAATTTCACACCCGAAGCTGCGGTGCTGCATTTTGACTTGCAGGTTCGCCTGATTTCCTCCGCAGTTTCGTGATCCTGGTTTTTGAGGATCACGAAACTGCGGAGGAAATCGGGCAAAGCCGCGGGTCAAATGCAGCCCCGCAGCCTCGGGTGTGAAATTGACATGTTTGTGTCGAGGCAAACAGCGGCTGCGCTGCGAGGCAGCTCTAGTGAGAAATCGCTCTTAGACTTTAAATTCTGATCTCTGAACTTTTCCTCAAATGTGATGGTACACGGCGAGGGCAAGGAGTTGTGCCCCTTCACTTCTCAAGTCAACTTGTCCGTTTCCCCTCAGACTGACACACACACTTCTCCGGGCTAGCAACTGCCAAGCCAAAGTCCAGATGATGACTGACTCCCTCTGACAAGACTGACAAGACTTTAGAAAGCTCTCCTCAGCTGGCACTGACCAATCTGAGAGAAGGGGGGGTGCATGCAGGCGGCAGCCTGTCAATCAAGCTGTGCTTTACAGTGGGGCATTAACTTCTAATCTCCCAGATATCGGAATCTGGTGCGCTGAGCATCCTGGTTTTGGAGGGCAGTTTGTCATACGGGTCTTGCCAAGTACGGCCATCTTGGGACTCATCAGTCCAGGTTCTGTGGCTCAGGCTGCGGTCACGTGCACCAGTTGGAGCAGAGGAGAAGCGAGGCTACCTCCCCCAGAGGAATTTGACATGCAGTTGCGAGATCACACAGCCCTCTCAAGCTGTGGGCTCAGCCCGTCCCTGTGTGATCAGAGGCAACTGCGGGTGAGGCAGGGTTTGTTTTGCTGTTTGTTTTCCATGCGCTTAAATGAGGAACGGCACCTCCGCACTGAGGGCTCCCTATGGAGTATGCGATGATGTGCAGACTGCGAAGGGGTTGGAAAAAATTGCACCGAGACGGTATGGCACGATCAGACCATCCCGATGGCATGAGAGCATGCTTGCGTGATCAGACAGGGGAAGGTCCATCCGTAGCCCGTTGGAACCGACTGGAGCCATACTTTCCCCAGTGTCTTTTAACTCCACTTCTGTGGCAGAGCAGTATGGGTTGCTGACAACTGTGGGATGCTTCCCAGATGTTGCTGCCTGATTACGCCCTTTAGATCTGTAATGTATCCAGTCCAGACAAGTCCAGAGACAAAAGTCGAGCTTTGCTCCAAGAGACAATGGACTATGTGGATCCTAGCCCACTCCAATCAGGGGGCTAGGTTCCTGGCCGAGAGCCTATGGGACTCTCGGCCACTGTAAATAACCTATAGGGAAGTAGGGGTGTGTTTTGGGTGGCGGTTTCTCGGGAGATATAAGCCAGCCTGCGAGCCGGCCAAAGTTGTCTTGTTCCGGATAGAATAAAGTGCGCTTTGTGGAAATCACTCTCCGTTTGCATACTTTTCAAGATCCATCAGGCATTCGCAGCTATGTCGGATCTAAAGGCCCGTGTGATCGCAGCCTCAGTGGGGTGGGACCTGCCTCATGGCCTGATGTCTTAATGGTCTGCCAGAGAATCCAATTTAAGTAAAGGGCAAGCCTAACAGAACCAATGTCAATCCAGAGAACCCAAGGCAAACTAATGGAAGCAAGGGACCACCAATGCAAGACTAAGTGAACCAATGCCAAACCAGAGGATCCAAGCCAAACCAAACTGGCAAGCCAGTACCAGGACCTAGCAAGAAGGCACTGACACAGACACACTGCACAACTGGAGGTGTGTGTGTGGGGGAACAGTCACGGGAGCCTTAAAATGCCAGTCCCAAATGTTTCTGTATATTCCAAATATTTCCGGGATTTTTCAAGCCCCCTTTACTGGGATCCCCAAAAACCTGTAATACCATCTGGGCACCTGAATATATCCAAAAAGGTATGCCCAATAAGGTATTTTTCAGATGGAGGGGAAGGCTGCATGGTATAGCCTGATCTTCTCAGATCCCGGAATATTTTAATAACTGAGTTCCATGTATGCTTTTATTGTTGAAACCTATCTTGAGGGCCTTCATGATCAATAGTAAAGGTAAATGTTCCCTTGCTCGAAAGCCAGTCGAATCCGACTCTAGGGTTGCGGTGCTCATCTCCGTTTCCAAGCCGAAGAGCCAGCGCTGTCCAAAGACGTTTCCGTGGTCATGTGGCTGGCATGACTAAACACCAAGGCGCATGGAACGCTGTTCCCTTCCCACCGAAGTGGTACCTGTTAATCTACTTGCAATTTCTTGCTTTCGAACTGCTAGGTTGGCAGGAGCTGGAACTAGAGACGGGAGCTCACTCCGTCATGCGGCACCCGGGTCTCGAACTGCTGAACTACCGACCTTCCACAGCCTGCAGTTCAGCGTCTTAACCACTTGAGCCACCGCAGCTCCTCATGATCAATAAGTTGAGGTATAAATGCTAAATAGATGATTATGTCTCATGGGGCTGGATTCCATGATCTTTAGATGCAATTACTGTATTTCCCGCATTTCCCTCCTTTCAGCAGTCCTTTCCAATCCTGCATGGTTAAATGGCCAACAGGCAAAATCTCTCTCTCTCTCTCTCCTGTTGGTGGAGCTACCCTGACAGAAAGGTTCCACCCCCTTCCTCCTCCCCCATCGCAGCATCACAACCTGTAACTCCATGCAGGTCCTCATAACCCTGGGAATAATATTTCCCACGGCCAGAAAGAGCTACTTGGGGGAGGGGGGGATCACAGAAAAGATCTGCAATCATCTGCACCTTCTGATGGAATTCAACCAATGGTGTTTATTTCCAAGTCATCACATGGGGCTGTGGCTTCTAATGGACGACCAGCGGAAAGCCTCAGTGGTGACACATTGAAAGGACACAACATTAGCATGTGTTTTCAATGTGCATCTGATCTATGTAATTTGCTGCAAAGATCTCATTATGCAAAGTAACCTAAATCAAGACAGTACTTGCACAGAGATGCAAGTCAAAACAACACCAGCGGGGCTGGACAGAGCTGTCTCTATAGCTCGGTAGGATCTAGAACAGAACTGTCAGAAGCACCAAAGGGCATCTTGCAAGAAAAGGTCACACTTCTGATCTTTTTTAAAAAGTTGTATTAGTTTATATATAGAAAGGGAAAAAAGGGGAAAGAAATATATCTTTGAAAATAATTTTTCAAATGCATCTTGTTCTAAGCTATAGAGACAGCTCTGTCCAGCTGTTTATATATATATATATAATTTTTTTTTTGACATTCTGCATGCAAATCTTCTCCTAAATAGTTTCACAACTATTATAGCCATCTTTTTATTGTTCTTCATTTAGTCTTAGTTTCTTAGTACTTATGTTTTAACCAGTCATAGAACGCCCTCCATGGTCCCATAAATTCTTCTTCCATTTTTCCTTTTAGTATATTTGTCAATCTGTCTGTTTCAGCACATTCCATAATCTTCGTTATCAACTCATTGAGCGTTGGGATTTTCAATGTCCTCCATGTCGTTGCGAATAAGATTCTGGCTGCTGTTGTAACATTTAAAATAAAATATCTATGGTTCTTATCTAAGTCATCTGCTAGACAGTTTAACAGGAATATTTCTGGTTTAAAAACTATTGTAATATTCAACACTGATTGTGAGAGAGTATGTACTCCAATCCAGTATTTATGAACCTTTTTACATGTCCACCACGTATGATAGTATGATCCAACATGATTATTACATTTCCAGCATGTGTTACTCAAGTTTTTATACATTTTAGTTAACCTATCTGGGGTTAGGTGCCAACTATAGAACATTTTATACAAATTTTCTTTAAATGAAACAGATTTAGTCAACTTGATATTCACATTCCATATTTTACTCCATTGTGACAAATCTATGTTATAACCTACATTTTGCATCCATTTAATCATACACATCCTGCATTTTCAATTGCATCAGCATACCATACATTTTCTTAATAAGTTTCTCACTCGAAGTATATAATAATTTTTCAAGTGCATCTTGTTCTAAATAAAATCCACCAGTCTGTTTATCCTTACTATATCTAGATTCCACTTGTACTCTAGTCCACCAATCTAAATCTATTTCCCTTTTCACACTCTTTGAAGCATAGATGATTTGGGTGTCTTTGCCAACTGGGATTTTAATTAGCAAATCTGCAGGAGCCTAATTCAATCATGCCACCCTTTGCTTGGAGGCTGTGTGGGTGTCACCATTTCATTTTGGCTCTCGGGTGCTTCTATTGCAACCCTGAAGCTGAATAATCCAGAGGTGTCCTGCCAGTTTCAGCTGGATGGCTCTGGCGTTGGTGTATCAAAGAGAGCGACTATCCTGTGGAGTGCGGGTGAAGTCACCGTCTGTGGACACCAGGGTTCCATACTGAGCTGCCTGGCCCTGGCTTTCTCCTTAATGGATCATGATGGAACAAAGCAACTGAGATTAGGAAAGGTAGGAGTCACATGTCATTTGTTTTGAGACCTGCAAAATTGCGGTGTAGTGCTGATGGATCTTTGACACCTTCCACTGACTAATAAGCCCTCTCAATTGTCAGCACAGGCACTTCTTTGTAATACACAGAGGCTTTTCCTTCCAAAGAACAGTCTGAAGTAGGATTACATTTTGAATGGGACCTGGTTTGCAGTGTATCCCAGATTCCCAGGCTCAGTTTTTAAGGAGAAGGAATGTGTCTCTTAATGCAGTTTGATTTATAATTTATGTTTGTACCACTTTACCTCATCCAGTTATTTTTTTGCCATTTTTTTTTAAAAATGTAGGGTCTAACTAAGGGATATTTATGGGTGGGAATAGATTTTTTTTCATCATCATAGAAAGAGGGTTACCTTTTCAGGTTTCAATGGGAGGAAGGCAGAGAGATTTCGGTGCTTTTATGTATTTATGGGTGGGAGGGTGGGTTTCATAGTAAGGGTCAAAGGCCTGTTCTAGGATCTACACAGAAGCAAATTACAACAACAACAAAAAGCATGTTAAGAGCATTTCTAATAGTTACTTTCTTTTTCTCACGAGAACCAGAGATTTATTTATTTTTTTGCCATGAAGTCACAGCTGATTTATGGCAACCCCTAATAGTTTTTAAGGCAATAGATGTTCAGAGGCGGTTTTGCAATTGCTTGGCTCCCCTTTTACGACCCCTGGAATTCCTTGGCGGTCTCCCATCCAAATACTAACCAAGGATGACCCTGCTTATCTTCTGGGATCTGACAAGATAGGGCTACCCTGGGCCACCCGGGTTGGGGCAAGAAATAATTACACATTTGGAAATGGGGATTGTGGGGAATAGGGCTGCCTTTAATCATCCCTAAATAAGAGATTGGGAATCCTGCAAACTGAGCTCTCGATGGGTTTTTTCTTCAAATCTGGGGTGTGCAGAGCCCCAATTTTCATAAGGACTGTAGCACAAAGGGAAGGGTCCCCCCCCATTTCCTTGATTGGAAGAGGCCCTGTGAAGTCGCTGTTGAGGCGGGCATGCAGGTACTGATGCAGGCATTTATATGTTTGCCCCCACAAGATAAAAAAGCTGACCCAAGGGATAAAAATGGCATGTTACACAAAAATGGCATTATTTCTCCTCTCCCCGTTGTGCTGTGGTCACAGTCAGAACTGCCCCCTGTTGGGGGAATTAAGAGCCCAGGAGCTTTTCCTAGGAATCCCATCCCCACCCAGCTCAACAAGGGGGGGGGTTGAAACTGGCAGGAACCCCATAGTTTGTGTGTGAGAGAGGAAAGAACCTGTCCCAAAGTTAAAACCATTTATTGAAAGAAAACCATACTGCACAAATTTTCAAGCAAGTGGCAATTTCAGCATTCTTCTTACAGAAGGGGACAGACAAACCAACCCATAAACAAATAGTGCACTTATTATTCATGTAGGAATCATTATCTGTTTAGGAATGCATTCCAGCCGCTCTGGCAAGACCTAACCGCAGTGTTGGCAGAGGGCCCTTAGTGTTTCAAGCACTGGTTTTAAATACCTTTAGAATCCAGATTAGCTGTCAATCCAGAAATCGGATGGTCCTGATGAAACCCAGACCCTTCCCATTTCTGACCAGAAGACTCTGACCAGAGTCATTGTACTACTAGGTTAAAAACACCCTCCCTGTCAAGGCAGGCGCTTGGAGCCACAGGTCTGCATATCTAGATGTTTTGGCTTCGAGGCTGGAACTCAGAAATGTAAACTGTTCTCATAGACAAGGCCGGCTCTCTCACTAGGCCTACTAGTATCTGGCCTAGGGCGCAGTCCTCCCAGGGGCACAGCGAGGCCCCTGCTGTCGCCACCTGCCTGCCTGCCCACCTCCAGCATGATTTTCTGAGCACCCACAATGCACCCCTTCTTCCCACCGGCTTGCTTAGCCTCCGCCGCAGCATCACCATCAGGACGGAGGAGAAGAGGGGTGGGGGGCGGGTGGGCAAGGAAGCGAGGAAGGAGGAAGGCGCGCTCCTCTGGGGACTCTGTGCCCCTGCTGCTTTGCCCACCCGCCCGCCCACTCAGTCTCTCCACTCAGGACGGTGCCTGGGCAGCATTCGAAGGTGGCGGCCTCCGGCCAGCTGGCCTGACGGGCTTCTCCCCGCCGGGAAGAAGGCTGTCTGGAGCTCCCGCAGGACAGCAATTGCCCTTAACCAGGACACCAAGCATCACCCCTGCGCCAAACCAGGGTCTGCCGGAGAGGGCGGAGGAGGAGGGCTTGGCGGGTGCACCGTCTGGAGGAGGAGGAGGGGGAAAGGCCACCGGGGTGAGTCCCAGCTGGCTTCCCTGGGCCATGGAGAATAGAGACTTGTTGTGGTGGGGACGGAGGTTTTCCCCAGAGCCGGGGACCAAGGGACGGGGTTCACTCCCAGCTGGCCGGCCCCTGGGCTAAGCGGTGCAGGACTAACTGCAGTCCGGACCTGCCCCCCCACGGAGTCCAGAGCTGGCCCTGCAGAGCTGCCGAGATTGATGGGAGGAGATGAGGCCGGCCACCATGGCCCTCCAGGCCCGCCCCCCACATTGGGACCCGGCAGAGCCCGGGGTGGAGCACTCTCCCCTCTCCCCCCCAGTGGATGAAAGAGCTGCCACCACCTCCTGGCTCCATAGTTGAAGCCCCCACCAGTCCTGTCACCCGGCGGGAAGGCCACCTGACTGGGCCTGACCTGGGCAGGGGCGAAGCTAGCTTGTGATGCATGGTGCTCCCCTTTCGGGCATGTTTCTGGGAGGTCTGTAGGCCCCACCGGGAGGTTGGCATTGCCTGGGGGTGCCACAAGCTGGCCTCGCCTAGGGCGCAGAAACACCTCGGGCTGGCCCTGCTCTTAGAGCAGAATGCAGGCTGCATTGTCAGGCTGAAGAGCCTCCTGCAAAGCCTTATGGGAGAGAACCAAACAGAGAGGCCCAAGACAATTCAGGCTGCTGTACAGAACTGCCCCATCTTTCTTATAATTCTGCCAAACCCACCCCCCACCCCCATGCCTGACGTTTAAATGGAGAAAAAATCTGAGAGCCATGTTCTGGGAACTCCTAGCACCTCATCTGGTTTAGTTTTATTGGTATCAACCTAAGTCACAGAAGTATTTTGTTATATTTCTTTACAATGATGTAATTATTGGTAGGAGATAGTTAAGACTGCAGTATGAGAAAGAAAGTAAGACAGATACCTCTCTATTCCAACATTTCAACCACTTGAAGCCTCAAGAAGTTAGGCAGAAGTTATGTGGAGTAAGAAAACTGGGCTTATTTATTTATTTATTTGACTTTTACCCCGCCCTCCCACCGAGGCGGCTCAGGACGGCTTACATAAAACCAAAAAAAAGTGTGCAATAAAAATACATATACAAAAATACATAATTTCATTTCAATATACATACAATTTAAAACCATTTATATCTCGTTGGCGGCCCATTGTAGTAAAGTGCATCCAAGACACCTTCCATGGTGAGCCACTTTAAATAACTTCAACTGGCAGATCGGCACAGGCTCTGCCGATGAGGAGATTAAATGCCTGCCAGAAAAGCTCCTTTTTCACGGCCCTGCAGAACTGCTCGAGGTCCCGCAGGGCCCTGATCTCACCAGGGAGCTCATTCCAGTAAGTTGGTGCCACCAGGGAGAATGCCCTGGTTGATGTCAACCCACCTGGGGAGGCCCATCAGCAGCCTGGCTGCTGCTCTATATGTTCTATACAATTGTGCTGGGTGTGAGCTTGCAGATGCAATCGTGGCTGCACAGAACTCCCTCTTTGCAGCCTTGACTGCCACCTCATAGGATCTCATAAACGTCCTATAGGATGCTCTTGTTTCCTTGTCACGAGCACACCGCCACTGTCTCTCTAGCTGTCTGAGCCATCACTTCATCAGCCTCAGCTCCTGGGTATACCAAGGAGCCAGCCTTGCGCGAGGGCGCAGAGGGCATCTGGGAGCGATCTCATCGATGGCTGCAGAGAGTTGGCCATGCCAGTCCTTGACTAGCTCATCTAATGAGCTTCCAGGGGGCAATGGATCCCAAAGAGCCATCTGAAGTTGCAGAGAGTCCATCTGGCTCCGTGGGTGAGCTAAAATATGCTCGCTGCCCAAACAGGGTTGGGGTGACACATTCACTCGGGCCCTCAGGGCATGGTGGTCCAACCATGGAACTGCCATCACAGTAATCCAGTCCACTGTAACCCCCGCCGCGAAGATCAGATCAACCGTGTGACCAGCCTGGTGAGTGGGAGCCATTACGTATTGGAAGAGTCCTAGCGCCGCCATGGACGATGCCAGGTCCACGACCTGCGAGGAAGCTGCATCATCAGCATGAACACTGAAGTCACCCAAGACGATCAGCCTAGGGTGCTCCGATGCCCAGCCCGACACGGCCTCCACCAGAGATGACAGGCTATCGGCTGGTCCATTCGGCGGTTGATACACCAGTCAAACAGCCAAACTCTCCCCGGCTTCCCACATGAAGCCAGCACACTCAATGCCTGTGAGCCTCGTCACTGGGAGCGCCCTGAAGGAGTAACCCTCCTGAATGAATAGAGCCACTCCTTCCCCCTGCCCCATAGTCCGAGATTGGTGGAGGACCGAGAACCTGTGAAGAGCTAGCTCGGAGAGAGCAACTGTCTCCCCATCTCGAACCCAGGTCTTGGTCACGCATGCCAGATCCATGTCTTGCCCCAGTATGAAGTCATGAAGGACTGAGGTCATTGCACAACACCAATGTCGGAGTGGGGTTTTTAATCCTTGCCCCACTACCTGCCCCCTTTGGGATGGGATGCAGGCTGGAAGGTGGCCGAGCTTCTCTGTTTCTCTACCCCCTTCCCTTCCATCTCTGCCTGGTCCCACTGCTATACCTCCCCCTCCCCAGGAGCACTGGAATTCCCTGCCCAGCCATCACTGCACCTGATAGTCTTTGCTAGCCACACTCGGCTCGAGCCTCAGACTGTCCGGCTCAGTTGGCTGATATCAGAGTTCCGCTGTGTGCTGCTACTATTAGAGGAAAGTTACCCTGTTTGGTTGACTGCCACCCGTTCCTAATTTAGATTCCAGTCACATCATTGGGTTTACTCTAATGCTTCCCTTACAGCCCATACACTTTAGTCTAATAGCCTATAGTTATCTTTTCCTATATTTCTCTTTTCTGTATTTCCTATCCCTTTTACTTCAGCCGGTAAATTACATAAAGGCCAACAAGTTAATAGCAAATTCACTTGAACCTAAACTAATCCCTTATTAATCAATTTACAGTCAAATCAATTAAATAGTCAATCACATGTATAGGGCAGTTAATGCAACACAATCAGTTAATTCATTACATGAAACCCCAATTGATTAATTAGAACTATCAACCAGCTGTTCAATTAGACCCACAATTAGTTGGAAAAAATTGACAAATTAACCCCCAATTAATTGGACAGAATCAATCAATTAATCAATCAAACCCACCTTTGATTAGAAAAAAAATCCCTCTATTAAACCAGCCCCCCTAATTAATTGGCAAAAATATCACAATTAACAATAAACTACCCCCAATTAATAAGTCTAAGGAACCTAACTTCCCTATAAATTTATAAGTAGCCAGTTACTATTAATGGTTTGTCTATGTGTGGCAGTAGCAGTCCGATTCTATTCAATCTTCCTTGGGCCTGTTCATCCTCGGAGGGTCTGGGTGGATTGTCCTTTGCGCTGGGCCTTACGTCCCCCACCCAGTGACGCCCAATTATGCCTGCGGCTCTTTCTCACTTCTTCAGGCTGGTTGAAAACAGTTCCAAGACCCCCATTCTTCGTTGTTCTAGCTCACTGATGGTTATAAATAACTCCACTCACCACCCGCTTGTCCCACTCCTCCTGCTGCAGTTGACTGAAGAAGCCCCGTAAAGCTGGAATCCCTCTGTGCACAGAGGTGTTTTCTCCATTTCATGACAACAGCAAGGGGCTTGACTATTTGCGTGAATGAACTATCACACATCTAACAGAGAAGGTCTGCTTCACTCAGTTGAAGTCACATACAGCTAAGATGGACAATAGCTGAGTGATGAGCATGCATGTATGTAGCAGTCCTTTTTTTGTTGTTGTTCAGTCGCACAGTCGAGTCCGACTCTTCGCGACCCCATGGACGAGCTCTCTCCAGGCCTTCCGGTCTTCTGCCGTCCTCTGAAGTTGGCTCAACTTCATGTTCGTTGCATCGATGACACTGTCTAACCATCTCATCCTTTGCCGTCCCCGTCTTCTTTGACCTTCAATCTTTCCAAGCATCAGGGTCTTCTCCAGTGAGTGCTCCCTTCTCATTTGGTGGCCAAAGTATTTGAGCTTCAGTTTCATTATCTGGCCTTCCAGGGAACAGTCAGGGTTGATTTCTTTGAGGATTGACTGATTTGTTCTTCTTGCAGTCCAAGGGACTCTCAAGAGTCTCCTCCAGCACCATAGTTCAAAAGAATCTATTCTTCGGCGCTCGGCCTTCCTTATGTGTCCTTTTTAGCCTAGGATAAAAGACAAGAAACCACAGGGATTTATATAGTCAAATATAATAAGCAGTAACAATCTAACAGTCAAGATTCCCTTCTATTTCAGGCTCTTCATCTCAATGAAACTAACAAACATCTGAGCTGAGGAACTGGAAACAACTCGGAAGGAACAGCAAGAGTGGATGACTTGGAGACCGGACAAAAAATCTAGTTCCCAACGCAGCTACATGGTGTGTAAAGGAAATTTGTTTCTGAACAGGGTGACTCTTTTCCTTACTATTGTATCTTGTGTGGTTCCCGTTCTCAGCATTCTTACTCTGTCACAGGCCTGTAGCCTTCGTAGGAGTTTTGTCCAAGTAAAAAGTGGTTGGGTCACTTGTTTTGCTATAAAAATGTTAAAAGTTGTAAGTCTGTTTAGGAGTGCCCTGTAAGTCAGCTGTTTAGCTCTAAGCCACGGCTCACATTTTTAGTTTGTGGTTGGGTGGCAAATAAATGTTAAGTGTATTTCAGCTTCGAATCTGTTGATGGCTGGAGAATGTTGGCCTTATTGGGGGGCGGGGGATCATACAGCATTAGTAAAATAATTCTTTTTGTTAGGGCACAACTTGTACACATGTTTTTAAGTCACCATTTACCCCTATGGTCCAATTTTCACCAGTGTTGACCAACACTCCCTCTAAGCTGTGGAGTATTGTGAGCAGAAATTCTACTTTGGGACGTGCTAGCATTAAAGTTGTGAGCGAGTGATTTGGCTACTGCATAAATTAGTTTGCTCTGGAGCCCTCCTTCCTGAGCGAAGGCAAAAATCTGTGAGCTGGAGGCTAAAAAACTGTGAGCTAGCTCACACTAACTCAGCTTAGAGGGAACACTGCTCACCAGGATCCTAGTTTACCGATGAACTCCTATCGTTAAGCTCATCCCTGAGTTAAAAAATAAAATAAAAGGACAACGTTTTAATGTTTGAAAGTGCTGCGGAGGTTTAGTTCTTTGGAGGTTTAAAAGAGGATCAGAGAGGAGGCAAACTGCAGCATCCCCAGTGCAAAAAACAAACAAACAAAAAGGATTTCAGCGCTACGTGCAAAAAAAGGTGAGGGGGAGAACATATGTTACAATCAGAAGTAGATTCGGGGGGATCGCGGGGGATCGCAGTTCCCCCGGGTGAGGTGTGGGGGGCGGGGCACACGACGAAGCCCCGCCCCTTGCTTCCGGTCACCCCGCTTCCGGCCCTCATTCAGCCAGGAGGAGGCAGGAGAAGAGGGAGGGTAAGTTGCTTCCTCCCCGCCTCCCCCCACCCCTGCCTGCCTGGGGACAGGGAGGGCCTTGGCGGGGCTTCCTCGCACTCCCGTCGGCCTTGCAGGTCCACCGCCGGGCCCCTGATGTCAGGGGGTGTGGCATATGCTAATGAGTTATGCTAATGAGTTCCCCTAGCTCTTTTTCTACGAAACTACCCCTGGTTACGATCAAGCATGCCGCAATGTACCAAGCTTTGCAAAAGCCCTGAAAAACGCAGGTTCTGTTACATAAATAAAGCTCAGTCTTTTCAAACACCACGGAGGACAGGGAAACTTCCATTCCTGGGTACCCTGGAGGCGTTGGCGGGGGGGGGAAGCACCAAATCCAGCTCAGAGTATTAGTTTGGGGAAATAACTGAAAGTGTGGCTGGGTGGTAAGGACAAATTGATTCCCCTCCCTGAATGCGATTGGGCAACTGTGTAAATTAAAAAAAATGGAGCCCCCCCCGCCCAGACATCACAAGCGATGTCCCCACCACAATTGAGAAAAACTCTTTTTTTTCTTAGTAGCTGCAGAATGAATCCACCAGAGGAAAAAAGAAATACACTGGAGAAAAAAATAATAATATGAGGACTGCAGGCACAGAAATTCGAAGTCAAGCTTGAACTCTTGATGGCTCAGATTCTTTGCAGTCAATTACAGTAAACTGTGTGTACAGAGAGGGCCATTGCCTTTTAAAGGGGCTTCTCCCTCTCTGTTACTGGCCTTTTAACTACTTGCTAATTCTAATTGAGGAATTCCTGTTGGCACTGTTTAATTAGTTATTTCCTGTTCCCTGCTGGGGGAGCTCTTTCACAGCTTGTCCTTTTAAAAACATTTTCCATGATCACAATTGCACAGTTTCAATAATGATAATTGCACCGGCTGCAAAGAGGAAACTAGGAATTAAAGGGGTCATTGACAAGGAAGCAATAAATGGTTAATTACAGTGCCAGTTCAATCATTCCATTGCTGGAGTGAACCAGAATGAAAGAAAGAAGGAAGGAAGGAAGAGGTAAATATTAAACACATAATTTAAATTATCAGGTTAAAATTAAAATAGGTACAGAGTCTCTGCCTATTTAACTAAGCACTGGATTAACAGCCATTTGTTGTTGTTCAGTCGCACAGTCGAGTCCAACTCTTTGCGACCCCATGGACCACATCACGCCAGGCCTTCCTGTCTCCCGCCATCCTCTGAAGTTGGCTCAATTTCATGTTCGTTGCATCTATGACACTGTCTAACCATCTCATCCTTTGCTGTCCCCTTCTTCTTTGACCTTCAGTCTTTCCCAGCATCATGGTCTTCTCCAGTGAGTGCTCCCTTCTCATTGGGTGGCCAAAGTATTTGAGCTTCAGTTTCATTATCTGGCCTTCCAGGGAACAGTCAGGGTTGATTACTTTTAGGATTTTCATTTCCAGGCAGCAATGCCCCCACCCAGTGGGCTAGAGATGACAGACGTGCAACGAGTCTCCAGCTGACTCCCTCCTTCTACCAAAGGGAGATTGCCCCACTTTTTCCTTCTGACCCCATAATCCTCAATTTCTGGAACACTTGGAATCCCTCCTTTTGGCCTGGCTTCATCTGCTGGCCTCCCTCTGACTGCCCCATGGGCCAGTCTCTCAGAACTCCCACCACTGCTATCAAAAGGAAATTGCCCCCCTTTCCTTACAACCCTGTGATCCTCAGCTTCCAGGCCTCCTGGGGTCGCCCTTTTTGCCCTGGTCTCATCTGCCAACCTCCCTCTGACTGCTCCATGGGCCAGTTTCCTGGAACTCCCACCGCTTCTGGGAAAAGCTGATCACCTTCCCTTTTATCCCCCAAGCCTTGGGTCTCCACCTCCTCTCCTGCATCACCACTGCCACCATGCACCCCTCCTCTCCCTCATCTCCTTCCACCCCCAACCTGTGCTATTTCACATTTTTCTCTGCGCCCCCAGGTCCCAAAAGGGTCACTTTTGTTTGGTGTTTGGACGGCTACTCTTGGAGTTTCCAGGGCTGCAGAAGTCCCGCAGAAGTCCACCCCTATTGTTCTGATGATTAATTAATTAGTATAGCACAAGCCACAGACACGAACCTCATAAACCTCTGTAAAAACCATGGAAGTTTGTGGGAGGTTCATTGTAGGCGCGATCGCACAACCCTCAGCTCATGAACCGTACTTAGGGTGACTTTCATGACGAATTTAGGTTTGTGCCCATCCCTAGTAGGGAAGCCAGCCTTCAGGTGCAACCTAGGGATTCCCCCCAGAATCACAGCTGACCTCCGGACTACAGAGATCAGTTTCCATAGAGAAAATGGATGCTTTGGAGGCGTGACTCTACGGCATTGTGCAGGCTAAGTTTCCATCCCTGTTATAGTGGTACTCAGCTACTTTTAGTATTCCATCCCTTCCCCAGCATTTTCAGATCTCATCAGCCTATGTTTTTAGGATTATGAGGGAATACCTCATAATTTTGGAGTGGAGTCTGAGGAGGGTGGGGTTTGTGGAGGGGAGTGACTCTGTCAGGTCAAATACCATTGAGTCCACTTTCCAAAGCAGCCATTTTCTCGGAATGAACTGATCTTGCCTACACTTATAACCTTGTTATTTTTGTACGTGAGTGATATTACGGTTCTCCCTGTGTTCTACGGTCCTGTCGAACTGCGTTATTTTGTCTTACTAGGTTTGGTGTAGTGTAGGACTCTAATCTGGGAGAACCGGGTTTGATTCCCTGACTCCTCCACTTGCACCTGCTGATGTGACCTTGGGTCAGTCACAAGCTCTGGCACAGCTGTCCTTGAAAAAGAGCAGTTTGTGTCAGAGTTCTCTCAGCCCCGCCCACCTCACAGGGTGTCTGTTGTGGGGAGGGGAAGGGAAAGGAGCTTGTAAGCCGCTCTGAGACTCCAAGTGAAGGGCGGGGTATAAATCCATCCTCCTCCTCCTCCTCCTCCTCCTCCTCCTCCTCTTCTTCTTCTTCTTCTTCTTCTTCTTCTTCTTCTTCTTCTTCTTCTTCTTCTTCTTCTTCTTCTTCTTCTTCTTCTTCTTCTTGATTCAGATGTTATCATACCTTGTAATCTGCTCACTGATTACCTGAAGTTACTTTGTAATCCATGTACTGATTCTTTGAAAAGGGTTTTTAAAAAAATACTTTTAATCCACTGTGAGTCCCAGTGAGAAAGGTGTATGAATAATGATGATATTGATGATGTTTTAATAAGACATTGTTTTTATTGTCCGCAGCTATGTGTGAAACACAGAATGGAATCGTCCCACTTTCAATCTCTGGAAAAGATGGCAGACAAACAAAGACCAATATAGGTCAATCAGCAGCAGAAACCATTCATCAGGGTGACGTTGAGGAAGGTGATTCCTCTTACTTCATTCCCTGGAGGAAGCACCTCCTGGAAACTGAAGAACCTGAGAATTTAATGCAGGAACCGTCATCTCCAGAGGAGAAATTGTCCCTAAATCAAGCTACTCCATCTGAAAACCAGGGAGGCCAGCCTGTAAATGAAAATATGCCAGTAACCGAGGGAAATTTACCAACATGTTTTGCTAACGTAGGACCGGCTGCAGAAGATACTAGTACCCCAGTGTGTGAAGTCCACCATAGAGTGGAAGACGTAGATCCCAATGTGCAGGTGTTCAGGGAAAGCTTTGGCATTTTAAAAGAATGTTGTGACAACATGTGTATGAGTATGTTGAACTTGCAAGTTGTCTTGGAAGCTCTTATTACTATTTTAAGAGAGTAGGGGAAACAGTGTATCTGGCCTGATCTGTAGGAATGGTAGCAACAGTAGGGAATATATTAAACATTTATTTGTTTTACTTCAGTTATATGGTACTTTTCTCCCAAATGGGAACCCAGGCCCCGGTCACACGGAGCATTAGGCACACTAGAGAGATGGAAGATAGGTGGATTTTCTGGGCGGGATCTCACCGCCACATCTGGGAAGCGTAGAGCTCCCGTGGCGCACTCGAGGCTTCCCGCCGAAGATGCGGGGTAAAAAACTAGTACCTCGGAGGTACTAGTTTCTGGAAACCGCGGGGCAAGGGCGGGCATCTGATCGCATTTCCGGTGGTAGTTCCGGCGCCCGCCCATGTCCCCTCGCAAAAAGGTTTTTTCCCTCAAAAGTCTCCACGGATGCGCACAAGCACCCAACGGAGCATGCACACATTTCAGGGTTTTTTAAAAAAAACACAACCCCGTTTGCCGCGCCGCTCTGCTTCTTTGCCGCGTCTGTGATCGGCACCTCCCCCCTAACCACGGGAGCTTGACGGGACCTCAACCCGACACCTGATCGCGCAGTCGCGTGTTAGTTTGCTCCGGGGCAAACAGCCACGCCTTCCCCCCACATTTTCCTGCCAGTGTGGCCGAGGCCCCAAATTGGCTTACACCATTCTTCCCCTCCTCTTCGACATTTTATCCTCACAACAACCCAGTGAGGTAGGTTAGGCTGAGAGTGTGTGACTGACCCAAGGTCCCCCAGCAAGCTTCTGTGAGATAGTGGAGATTCAAAATCCGGTCCCCCAGATCCTAGTCTGCCACCCTAACTACTACAAGACTCAGGGTCTTCTGTTGTATATATTTTCATGGAATTTATTTCACACGTAGAAGGTTTTAACAGATATAAATTAACAAAGGGCGATTTGTTCTTCCAGACACTGAAGCCACTGGCTTGTATCCTGTCAAAAAGTGTTGTGTGTGCAAGGGAGATGGCTAGGGTTGCCAAGTCTGTTTCTCCTCACGGCGGGGGGCTCCTGGATGGCGAGTTTTCCCCTCAGATGGCTGTGGCCCCGCCCCCAGCGTGCCCGGTGTCATCATGTCACATCCGGCTGACGTGCATGCCGGGGTGGGGTTCCCCCCGGGGCCTAATTCCGCGGCGGCGGAAATTGGGCCTCCAAAGTGGGGGATTATCCACCCCCTGGGGGGACTTGGCAGCCCTAGAGATGGTGCCCCTTCCAAAGAAGGCCCCTGACTCCCTCCAAGCTATTCCTGGAGATTCCGCCATCCTACAGAAGCAGGATTCCCAGCAAACTTTGCTGTGGGTTGATTAGCCCTGGCCCCCAACTTGATCAAAACGAAGCACGAGGCTCCATTGGCTGTGAGGCTAGCAGAGCAGCCAATCAGAAGAGGGCAGCTGGCCATTTTGCCCTGTGGTCCTCTCTCACCCAGGATCTCCTTGTTGAGGGGGAGGGAAGGAATCCAGCTGTATGTGTGGAAATCCTTCTGTCCCTGACAACATATGTTTTCTTCTATGGGGCACACGGCATTTTGTTGTTGGAGATTTAAAATCTGGAAAACACAGGCCCGTGTTGAGCCTCCCTGGCTGTTTCCCCCCTCTAAAACAAGTGGTTACCACGGCTCATGCATTTATAGCACCACCCCTTACATAATGGACTGGTATAAAATGATCCAGGATTTTGCACTGGTGTCTAAATTAACTCATTACTGAAAGGCAAGGCCTAATTTACAAAGTAGTAGGAGCTGCGGTGGCTCAAGTGGTTAAGACGCTGAACTGCAGGCTGTGGAAGGTCGGTAGTTCAGCAGTTCGAGACCCAGGTGCCGCATGACGGAGTGAGCTCCCGTCTCTAGTTCCAGCTCCTACCAACCTAGGCGTTCGAAAGCAAGAAATTGCAAGTAGATAAATAGGGACCACTTCGGTGGGAAGGGAACAGCGTTCCGTGCGCCTCGGTGTTTAGTCATACCGGCTACATGACCACGGAAACATCTTCGGACAGCGCTGGCTCTTCGGCTTTGTAACGGAGATGAGCACTGCAACCCTAGAGTCGGATTCGACTGGCTTTCGAGCAAGGGAACCTTTACCTTTACTTAGTCTATACAAATGTTTGACTTTACTGTGATACTGTGGGAGTAAGAAAAGCTGTTTAATTGAGCCGGTAATTGCTCTTTGTGTCTAATTCTGTTGTGTTTACGCTGTTAAAAATTAATAAAAACAAATATTAAAAAAAGATGGTGGAATTTGGGGAGGACATGATGTCACTTCCAAGGTGATACTCTAGGAATGTCCCCTAATCTATGTGGTAAAGACCATAGAGACATGGAGAAATTTCTAAAGCATCACTGTTAGGGATAATTAAAAACCTGCTGGTTTGACTAGCATCCTGTTCACTAGTTATGAACAGTGCTCAGATTTTGTTTTCACCAATTTGCAGTCTGTTTGCGGGT